TTTCTTGATAAAATAATAAATCTATTTTTTTCTTTTTAAATAGTATGCAGAACATCCTACAGGGAAAACACAGAGCTGTTCCTGGGAGTTTAGTAGCCTGGAAAGTATCTGGGTACAAAAAGGCCAGTCTCCTGTGAAACAAGGATGTACCTGATGATCCAGCTCAGACTTATGAGGTACTTAAAGTACCTGCTCTCACTCTGTAAGCATTGAAGACCTGCATATTTCTCATTGTTTTAAAATATTTGTACCTTGTTTTAATACACACATTTCAACATGTACTTTTTCAGCTTTTCAACATGTTCTAAATGGCACCTATCTAAATAGACTCTGGGTGTAAGAACAGAGGACGCAAGCTTTTCCATACTATATCCACTGACATCTGACTTTGCTTTGCACTATCCCACTGAAGCTAATGTCACATAACCTCAGAGCTACTGTATCTGAACACAACTGCTCTACTTCCCTGTATGATCTTATATTCATTTCTTTCTTTGAATGATTGCTTCTTCAAGAAATGCAGTGTATATAGACTGTTAAAGGTTTACACAGGAGGGTTTCTTATTGTTAATTAAAATGTAAAGCAAAATGTTCTCCAGTATTTTCATCATAGTCACCAGAACCCAAGTTGCAGGACTGTGAACGCATGCACTGCATTTTTTCACAGACCAATAAATTCTGACACATACACCCTCAAATGTTGTTATCTTGCAGGTTTTGAGATCCAGAACAAATCCACTATATTAAGAGGGTAGCTAATTTAACAAACTACTAAGAAAAAAAATACTTCACTTCCCTCCTTCTGTTATGGGGATCATACACATCTTCAATAATACAACATGTGATGCACTCATACAGTACAAAAAATAGATTATAAACATGGTCATTTTTGTTCAGTACAATTACTGGATTTAAATGCACTGTACAGCTGTACATATGATCAGAGGCAATCACAGTAGGCCATCCTGTCAGGATAATGGTACTGTAAGTGCAACATGCTACACACAGCACCTACAGTACCAGCTGCAACAAGGATACTGTATCTACATATCTTTTATTTTCTAGTATAGTAACATAAAATTAAAATCCATGACTTGTTAATGCCAGTGTAGTTAAAACGCAATGAAAGTAAGTAATCTTCATTTTTGCAATTTGTTTTTTGTCCTATCGTCAACTGCAAGAACGAATCCTTTGGCTTTCACTTCATCTTTTATCCTCTCAGTTTATTTGTCATTTTT